ATGATCTAGCCAATGCTGGCATCCACTGGGGCTTCTTTTAAAATGTTTATTCTTTTTCATAAATTAAAATTAATAGGTGTATGGACTAAAATGTCTTGATCAAGGCCAGCAATCATATGGATAGTAAATTATGAAACATATACAGGTAGTCCTTGTTTAATGCCCACTTGTTTAGCAACCATCTGAAGTTACAACAGCACTGAACAAGGGGTACTTATGATGGATCCTCATAGTTGCAGCCATCGCAGGGTCCCCAGGGTCACATGATTGTAATTCAGGCGCCTGGCAAACCAATTTGCAATTACAATGTCACAGCATCTCACAGTCACATGATCACCATTTGTGACCTTCACTGCCAGCTTCTGACAAGCAAAAGGTAAGATGGCAGCAGTTGCAAATGGCGATCATGTGACTTCAGGATGCTGTGACCACGTTGGATTTGCCTAACGACAGCAACTGGGACTGCCAGAACTGCCACTGTGAGTTGGCAAGGTCACATGACATTGCGCCTTACAACTGCATCTCTTAGCGATGGAGTTCCCGAACCCAATTACTGTCAGTAAGCGAGGACTACTTGTAAATCAAAGTGGAAGTATCAAACCTATGTGTACTAGACTGCTGCCTTGGATAAAATACTTTATCCAAGAATTGCAAATCAAATCCTGTAAGATACATAGAAAGAGTATCTTAGGATTCTCCTAAAGGTTGCAAGGGAAAACAATTGTTTCTTCTCACTTTTCATAAATCTAAAATTCAAATGTTAAATTGCAAGTACTTCTTTTAAGAAGAAAAACTAAGTGCTTGACATATATGTCAGTTCTGCAAAAGGGATATAACATCCAACTTTTCTATCAACCTGCAGAAGCTGGCTTCACTGCAGTCTATTTACCAATTTACCAGTTGTCAAATAATAACAATGACAAAGTTACATTAACGTTGGAATCCTATTTCCTGTAAGAAGCAAAAGAGTTATGCATGGTACTTGACATTTAGGAGAGAAATAGAATAAGTGACCAAGGCAAAAGAACAGTTTTGCAGGAGAAGATGGCTAGAATTAATCCCAATTTGTCTTCCTTTGGCTAACCCTAGCACTACTTTTGATTATAAGTTCCCTTTCAAATACAAAGGTAGTAATTTGATTGTATAGCCACCAATGTATAGTTTTTATTGTATAACTGTATATATTCCAGTTTGTTTAAAATGATTTTCTATCAACGTTCTAGAATGACAGTATTCTGACTGGTGAGTTATCCACTTCCATACAGAAGACATACAGCTTCTTCCAAACAATTCTCCGACATTTGGGGAGTTAATGAGATTTTCCTATAAATCCATGTCTTTAGGATAGTTCCTACAATCCCACATTTTAAAATCTTTTACTTTAGGTTTACTGCCTGGTATGTTCTAATTTAGGTGTTGAAAAACTATGGGCATCCAGGGGTTGCTGAAGAAAGTACTCTAAGATCTTATATTAGCTGGGGAATTCTGGGAGTTGAAGTCCATACAGCTTAAAGTTGCCAAGGTTGAGAAACACTGTCCTATACCAATGCCATGCTGGTGGTGGTTGCTGAAAATTGTGATTCAGCAACATCTGTAGGATCACAATTATCTCAAACATTTTTTAATTATTACATTAGAAAATATACATGGAAACTAAATATGTCAAGAGTCTTTTCATTTAATAGTTCTTTGTTGTTGTTGTTCAAAGAAAAATATTTGTCCATATGATTTAATATGATCCTGAGGAGAAGGAAAAAGGAAAGTAGTGTGCAGGACTACAATTCTGCATGTAGAAATCAAAGTTGCATGAGCAAAGCTACACTTCTAATGTGTGATCCAAAACACATTCCCAAACCTTCAGCACACTATTACTATAGTTCTTTACTGCAAAAAAGGTGCATTTAATATAAACTTAAAATAAGAGTGTTCCTGACAATGCAAGACTAATTTACTCAAGAGACTCTGCTGAAGTCAAGCATGAGAGTTCAACACAAGAGCTTTATAAATGACAGGAGAGTACCAGGAGATAATTTAAACTTGTATTCACTCTAGAGTCATCAGTTACATGTACTTTTTAACCTTTAAAGTTGAAATGTTAACTTATCATCAGTTAATGAATTTACGTTTCTCCTTTCACCAACATCAATCAACTCAAGATATTACCCACTGTTAATGAATTAGTGTTAAGACTCTCGGGAACATCAGTGAAAGGGTACTGCCATCTTTCTTTTCAGGTCATAAAAATAAGTTAGGAATGAAATCTGCAAACAGGATTTTTGCCTATTGTAATCTTTAAACAAATGAAAATATGTAGAGCTAATATACACTAAAAAAAGAGGAGTTAAGAATAAACAGCAGTGGGAATTAGTTACATTAGTATAAAACAAATAGGTAAAAGATTATTGATGTAAATGAAATTATCAAAGTACTATCACCAAAGCAAACTGAAAAATCAGTGTAATTTTTTCCTCCAAAACTGCGATCAGTCAGCAAACTGAAAAATCAGTGTCATTTTTCTTCTCCAACTTCAGTCAGTCTGAAGACTTTCGCCCTACTTTTATATTTTGTAACAGTCTCAAATTTGGAAAACTAAACATGCAGCTAGAATATCTTATTTAAGTAAAATATAAACAATTATTTGAAAGATAACATGAAATTTACTTTCAATATAGAAACAACCTTTCTCCATTTTACTACATTTACTACATTTTTTTCAACCCAGATTCTTAAACCTGCTCTAATGGAGTTTATGGTTTATTATTTATACAAGAGATAAACATCCTTGTAACAGTATGTATCAGAAATTATGGGAAAGTTAAATGTATAGTCATGTAAATTTTAAAATGTTAATAATAACAATAATAATCCTAATTCTTATATAGCTTAGAACAATTTTTTGAGCAACAAACTATTTTGACATTGCAGCAGCAAATAAAGATTAAAAATGTAGTCTTCACAACAAGGATCAGATTCAGGTATGAATGGCCTTGAGAAGTGTTTTTGATAGGTTCCTTTTTAGGGCCTTTATCTGGCTCAGTAGGCATTTCAAATAGCATTGGACAGTAAGTCTAGCTGTTCAATTAATTACCCTTAATGGCGCAGAATGATGGGTAGTAATGGTTATTCCAGAAACTTAAAAGAGTGGTGAGATAGTAACTTCTAGCGCCATTTGGAATGCAATGAGTTAAACAAAATTGTCAGGCAGTAATAAAAACTCTACCTGGCAGATGTTGATGTCTTTCATAATAGGCTTCTGGGATACAGAACATTGATGAGGCTCCTCACAACTTAAACAATTTGGTATTTTGGATTAGGACTGTGGAAAGCCTTCAAAAGAAGCACTTAACTGGGTGCCTAAATAAATTGGCTTTAACTTGCTGCTAAGATATCTTATTGTTCATAGCCTTGTTCTGATAAAATAGGCAGTGTATATAATTATTAAGGTTGCTTTCTATCTTAGGAGCTCTACCACAATTTTATTATATAATATGTTTCTCTGCATGGATATCCACTTATATAAACTGCTAATACTTCAATGGAAAATTAACACTTCCCACTTAATTTTCCACTTTTCAAGTTTAATATTAGGTATAGATCATAGCTTCCACTGCCGTATAGCTTCCTAAAGAGGCTTAGACTTTAGTTCCTTACTGAGTTCAGTTTGAAAGGTATTATTTGAAATCTTGGCAAGTACAACATGAGGATTCTTGTTTATTCAGCTTTTTAAAGTAATGCTACAAAATATATACATAACATGTTGCACTATAATAATTGTTTTGATTATTCTACTCATGCAAAATTTATGTAAGGAAGAATCTCAACTGAAAAAAAGCACATACAAAAATAAATTGGGAGTAAAATGGACCTTCTATAATACTGTTACTTTGTATTAACGTATGTCTCTTGAAGAATTAAACCATCACTACCACCCAAACTTCTATCAAGCCATCTACCATGATTACTGGTTAAGATGATGTGAGAAGCTGAGTCTTGCAATAGTGCCTCTAAGAAAAACCTCCAATTTTATACTTCTGACCAATGTTAAAAGAAGTCACTAAAGGATATCTTAGTAATAAGAAAACTAAGGGAGTCACCCTAACTCTCAGAAGATGTTGTTGTCATTGCAATAAATATTAAGGTACCATGATGGGACTGAGCTATCTGAGGGACCACTTCTCCCTGGTTATATCAGCCTGCCCATCAGTTCTCACAGAGAAGGCATGTTGCAGGTACCATTGGTTGGGGACCTGCACTTGGTGGGTCTCAGGAGATGTGCCTTCTCTGCTGTGGTGCCCACCTAATGGAATATCCTTCCTCCCGAGATGAGATTAGCGCCATCCCTTTTGCTATTCTGAAAGGTCTTCAAGACCTGGTTATGTGATCAGGCCTGGGGCTCCAAGGGAACCAGAGACCTGCTTTGATGGTTCCACTGCCATTTTATTTTCCCTCCCCTATAGTTTGTATCTTGGTTTTTATGATATTTATTAACGTGGTTTTCATATTTTTCATGTTGCTTTTGAATTTGTTTTTATCTTATTGTACGCCACCCAGAGTTGCTTTTGGTGAGATGGGTGGCTATATAAATTTGCTTAATAAATAAAATACATAAAATGATTGGAATTTACCTCCCAAGACCTTGTTCCATCAGATTGCAGTGATTTTCCCCTGAAGCTAGCAAATAAGACAATTCTTGTCTGGAATTTAGTGGACTGAAACTTCTTTCTAACCACTTTAGTTTATTTGTCCTCTATGGATTTCACAGCAATGTTAATATATATGAATCGTTACTCTAGCAAAAACTTGTTTTAACCTACTTTCTAAAATAATCTGTATTTATCTAAGCCCAATGCAGAAATCAAGTGATCTTGCATTTAACAACAGAATTGGCCACAAACCTGGTGCAAAGAAATTTCCAGCCACCACAGATGAACCACTCTAAACCTCTTTTTCTTTGAGAAATCCTGGCTCTTGGTAATGTATGGTAATCACTTTCATCATTTTCAAAGCCTTCTTCTGACATCATTAGAGGCATTTCATCCAAATGAGAGGGCTCATCTTCTATTGGGTATCTATTAATATTAAAGCAAATAAAATAATTAAGATGGAATACAAATCCAACACTGTCACAGTGAAAAGGAGTTCAAGGAAAGCAACCTCATTTTTTTTAAAAAAAATATAGAGGATTCATAGATATGTGTTATATGAACTGAGTGGGGTTACAGCAAGATCCAGTGACAAATATAGATTAATTAGGGTAATTAGTTTTTATGTCTGAATAATCTAAATCCTTGCTGTAATAACCACAGCCTTATTTTCAACAGTAAAAAATAATGATATATATTAATAATTGATACATACTCTCTGACTCATGAAACTTGGAAAAGAGCATTTGTTATTTGTTTTAAAATCTGCAATAAATGGCAGTTATGCCAAAATGATGACGCATGCATGGTGATATCACTGTGCAAATACTGCGCTAACATACTTGCATCCTAATGTCTGTGTAACAATGTCAATCCTCATATGTTTTGTCATTTGCCCCCTTGGTATTCCCTGTGGATTACTGTTTCTGCAATATCAATACTTACGATTCCACACATGATACCATGTATAGCAACAAAGGGGAAAATCCAACTATATTTAAATTACATTTTTTATTCTCATAAAGACACACTCACTTGATAAAGTTTCTGTTTAAGTCATTAAAGTTAAGATAGGTATTGTACATTTGAGAACTGTCAATAAGTAGCAGAGACAACTGAGACAACAATCTCTTTTCTTCCATCCAAATATGTCTCTCAATTGATGAAAGAGTCTTTGAGCTAGCCGCCAAGTTGGATTTTTGGATTATAAAGAAATTGAGGGTGTGCTAATGAATGAATGAATATAATGAGTCTATCTTCACTATAGAATAGGCATTACAATATTGATGTTTTTAAGAAAGAAATCTGAAAAGGTGAGGCCAGTATCATCTAGAATAGATGATTTTTGGCAAATAAGAAACAAAATAATCTATCCAATATCATTTATTCAAAAATTCTAAGAGAATTCCTCATTGTCTAACAAATATATATATAATTATGTCCCTATATTCAATTTCTATAACATACAGAAAAGAAAATATTGTATTACCACAAAGCAAACAAATCCAGGGAAGATTCCCTAGAAGATTGCCTAGAAGTTAATTTAACATCTGTTCTAGGTAGATTAATGGAAATCATTATTAAAGACAAAATTATTAAATATATAGTCAAGCATATGAAAGTCTTGCTGAATAAAAATTAACATAGCTTCTGCAAAGGTAAGTTCTGTTTCAACATTTAAGGAGTGTTTTGAGAGCATCAAAAAGTACAGTAATATCTCGGTTCACGAACACTTCTGTTCACGAGCAATTCAGTTCGCAAACAGCAGTGTTCGCAAATTTTTGCTTCCGTTCGCGAACTCTGCATCGGGTGACGAACATGACCTGCGGCCATCTTCCCTGCTCTGACACGTGGTCATGGCTTCCTCTAGGTGAGATCGCGGTCGCAGACAGACACTTGCTGTTAAGCTTTTTGGTGTCGCCTCAAGTAAGGTTAGTGTTCTTTCTCTTCATACTGTACTGTACTGTACTTTGTTTCATATTTTTATGGTTA